AATATACCAAATTCTCCAGAATCTCCAGCTCTCAACTTTACTCAACAAATCACAAGTGTTAATGAATCCATTCTTTCATCCCTCAATCAACCTTCAATTTCAAATTATTCACGTGCGCCAACCCGTTGCGCTTCAAATGTACCAAATCACCTAAATACAGATTATTCTGCTGGTAAGAATAAATCATTCACGAAAAATTCCTATAGTGACCTTCTCGACGGAGACGCTGACATGTCAACTTAACCCTCCCTCCACTCTGCTTACATGTCATTACAATTAAATAAAGTTTTTAAAATTCTACAATGGAACATTAAGGGACTTATTAATAATTTTGATGAATTCCGTACACTCATAAATGATTTTAATCCAACCTTTTCATCGCTTCAAGAAACCCATTGTAGAAGCTCTTTTAATCCTATTCCACCCAAATCATATACTGGATACTTCACGAATGCTGATCAAAATTCATATTCCAAACAAGGAGTAGGTGTTTTTATAAAATCAAGTATACCTCGCAAACGCATAAATTTAAGCTCAAATATACAAGCAGTAGCGATACAAATAATGTTAAATATAAAATTTACAGTGCTTTCGCTCTATATTCCACCTTCGCAATCGTTTTCTCAGCAAGAACTCTACAGTTTATTCTCCGTACTTTCCCCCCCATTAATTATATGCGGCGATTTCAACAGCTGGAATACCATCTGGGGCTCAACAATGAACAACACTCGCGGTACTGTTTTAGAAAAGGCCTTTTTTCAAAGCAACCTTTGCGTTTTAAATGATGGAAAACCAACGCACTTCTCAACTCATCATACTTTTTCACATATTGATTTAACATGTTGCTCTCCATCACTTCTTCCTTTGGTGTCCTGGTCTATTTCTGATGATCTACATAATAGTGATCACTTTCCAATCATAATCGATCTTAAACTTTCAACGTCCTCTGCTACTCCAGCAAAACTGGCCAAATTCCTCCTAGATAAAGCGGATTGGATCAATTACTCCAAACAGGTGGAGTCATTTTTGAACTCAAAGCCATTTAACGGAAACTGCAACCATGATGCTGCTATTATGTCTAAATCGATTCGCACGGCTGCTCATCTTTCTATTCCTCAATCCAACACCTCTTTTAAACGAGCTAGGGTTCCATGGTGGAACAACACGCTTTCGTTTTTGAGGAAAAACAAAATGCATCTATGGCACCGCTTTAAGAGATGTTCTGATCAGAATCACTTGTTATTATACAAAAAGGCCAATGCTCTATTCAGGAAGGAATTACGGAAATCAAAGGCGCTTAGTTTCCAACTTTTCTCGAGACGAATTCACAGAAATACATCAATGAAAGTTGTCTGGAACAAAATCAACAGACTTAATGGGACTTCAAACCTGAACCAAATTTCTGCCATCTGCACTCCCAATGGAACTTTAACTGACGCAGATGAGATTTCTAATTACTTTGGAAAAGTGTAGTGCGAATATTCCTCTGACAGCAACTTCTCCAGTGCTTTCATTGAAAATAAAAGGACTCCAATATCTCCTTCAAATAATATCGATAGATGTGCCACGTTCCTGGAAAATAGCGTATCTACCTCAGAACTTGGAAGTTGTCTCTCCAATTTGAAGGGGAAGACAACTGGTCTAGACCGCATCTCATACCAAATGATCAGTGCTATGTCTAAGTCTAGTAAAAAGAAATTACTGGACCTATATAATACGGTATTTATGACTGGCCATATACTCTACATGTGGAAAATGGCAACAGTTGTTCCAATTCCAAAGTCAAAAAATGTCTCCATCGCATCTGATTATCGCCCAATTTCTCTTTTATCTTGCCTCTCTAAGGTTTTAGAGAAGATTATGGCATCTAGATTATCTTGGTTTCTTGAATCCAAGAACCTGATAACAAAGCAACAAGTTGGTTTCAAGCGGGGTAGAGGATGCATCGACGCTCTGTTACATATTGATTATTTCACAAGCAAAGCAATTTCCGAACGAAATCACGTAACAATTCTCTCAATTGATTTCGAAAAAGCATTTGACAGAGTTGGTCTTCATGTTATCTTAAGACTCTTGAAATCATGGAATGTTGGACCCAAATTCTTCAACTACATCAAATCATTCATGTCGCATCGGCGGTTCAAAATTAGAATCAACAATCATCTTTCTGATTCCTTTCCGCTAAAGAATGGCATTCCGCAAGGATCTCCTCTCTCTGTCACGCTTTTCCAGATCGCTTTCAAAGAAATTAGCGAAATTCTTTGCCGTGTACCAAGAGTGGAACATTGTCTCTACGCGGACGATGTATACATTTTTACAAAAGAAAAAGACAACACGAAAGCAATCAACATCCTCGAATCTATTGCATTTGAGATCTCCACATGGGCAAACTCGTCAGGAGCTATAATCTCTATACAAAAATTAAAAAAAAAGGCACATTTGTCGAAAACAAATGTGCGATGCAGGAAACCTACTGATGCATATTAACGGCTTACCAGTACTAAATGTGCAGACGCTCCATGTTCTCGGGCTCACGTTTTCAAACCATTATCGTTGGAAAGCACACTGCCTTCGTTTCAAAAACTCCCTTTTAACAAGGGTAAATTTCATACAGTACGTTGCTTGGAGAAGCCATGCGCATATTAACACTATCGCTTATCTTACCAAAATGCTTGTGTTAAGCAAGATTGACTATGCTTTGATAATTTATGGCAATATCTGCAAATCTAATATCAACATCCTTAAACCGGTCTATCACCAAGCCGTTAGAGCAAGTTGTTATGCTTTTCGGACGACGCCCATAAGTAATATTATAATTGAAACTGGTCTCCCAACCTTAGAAAATAGACTGTATGAGTTAAAAGCTAAAATAGTCCCTAAGCTTCTTAATTCAAACAAATCCATTCTCGGTGATGACGTAAGAAAGATTATTATTGCGAAGAAAATTCCAAAGTCACCATCTGCAATTGACCATTGTTTGTGCATCGCAAAGGAATTGAACATTCCCTTAAAAATTTCCCGCTCTTTT